TTTGCTTATATACCTAGGTGGCTCAAAAAAATTAATGAATGAGTCAATTTATTCTATTGATTAAATCAGTCTCAACTCACTCCATTTTCCCAGAAATTTTTGGAATCCTGTTATTTTTAGTCTAATCCACATTGATTTACGTGTCCTTGCAAAATGTTGATGATTTCATCACAAAATTGTGTACCTAAAGTAAAAATTTAACTCGAAAATGCTGGATATGTTTCACTGTATTTTAGGTGCGAGGGAAATTCTCTCGAAACAACTTTCCACCATTTTTTTTTGCTGTTAGATTTGAACATAAATAGTTTATTTTATATGTTTTTAAAACATTATGAAGAAAATAAAAAGTTGTGTTAGACTGAACCTTGTGGGTTTCTCAATCTATTTTCCGCAGCATTTTAAACTTTCAACTCAATTTCTTTCAAAATATACATATACAAATGGATTTCGATGGTTATTTCCCTGTACCCTTCATTTGAAAATAAATAAGCTTATCTGGTGTTGTTTACCAATTTGCATTTTATGACGGACTCCCTACAGTGACCATAATCTCTCCTCTCTTGGATCGCTACTTGCCGTGGATCGGTACTTTGGGTTGCATAGTTACAAAAAATAATTCTTCTCACTGAAACCGATTTTGCGGGAGACGACTGGGGACCCTTAAACCAAAGAACATAACAATAAGACTATATTTGGTGTAAATATTTCTAATTGTACGACTGTTCCTGTAAATGTGTATAATGATGTATAGTTTCCCCAGTTCTAATTCGGTTTTATGATAGTACCCTATTGTGTGAGTTTTATTGTTAATAAAATTATTTTTTTTTTTTTGTAAAAGTGGGACGTTTTTAATTATTGTGCAAACTGTCTTGATTGTAGAAAAAATCTTGTGTGTATAACGAGCGCAAATTCATCACTTCATAATTAAAAACGTCCCAATTTCTTCTTCCATTTTCATCAAACCACAGCACAAAACTCAAAAATTTGTATAAACCAAAGTTTGTCTACCTGTTGCTATGGAATGAATTGGCCAGTGAATATTTGATTAATTGGATTAGCGAGCGTTTTGTACACTTTGTCGCGCGTAAGCGACAAAGTGACGTTCCTCGGAAAACTTGACTTTTGCATTGTCAAGTCCGAGCGTCAAATGCCTACTTTCTATATCGATTGTAGAAAAATAGCTATTTAACCGTTGCGCGAAATGCTTTCGAGCGCTGCTAGGGGTAACATCAACAAATATTTAATTTAAAAATGTCAACTTTTTTGACAGTTGTAGAAAATTTTTTGTGTGTACCACGGATATTATGAAGTAGTTAATGCTCTTTTGAGGGCGACAGGTTAGAGATCCGAGGGCCTAGGGCTCCAGAGTTGATAAGTCTCCTGAGGCTATTGCCGCGCTCATGCGATAATTCCATAAATGTTGTGTTACAAACCCGCATTAGAAATGAATGTCATGTTATTGAGTGATCGATGTAGCGATAATGGAACCTCAATTCTAATTTCTAATAAATCTCAATTTTATCTTTACCTCAATAAAAACACAAATGACTATTCCATTCATCGGTCAATTGCTTAAAAAGAGTGAATGAAAATAGTACTTTATGTGGACAAATTATATATGTATTTAGTATTTATTTTGTCAGAAACATTATCATAGACATTAACTGGCATTAGCAAACGAATTTAACGTTGGTTAAACAACTTGTTAAAGTTGACAAAGGCTTTACACAAGCGGGCCTAATAAGTGTGTCAAAAGGCAATTATCAGACTACTCGACCACCAATAACACAGTAGAACAGTGTTTTTGTTACATATATTTTCTCAACATGGTCGGAAAGGTAATTTTTTGTGCTGAACAACTCTTAAAAGAACAATTAGAAAAAATGAAGTGAATTCCAATTTTACATAGAAAAACGCGCAAGAAGCACTAAAAAAATGTTCCACAGATTTCTGTCGACAGATATTTAATTACGTCTACGAATATTTAAGCGGTCTAGAATATGTAGAAGGATCTAACTCTTTATAAAAGCCTCATGTATTCGGAAAGAATGAATACTTGGGTCTTTCCAATGGGTCTTTCTCTTAAATCTTTCTTCGACTTTCTTGATTTCTCGATGAAAAGATTATCAGCAAAGAAATTTAAATGAGATATAATTTGTGGAACGTTTGTTTCCAAAAAATTCACTGATCACTAAGCTAATTGATTCCCAAGTAAATTTTTCCGTATCATTCAAATAGGCGTAGAACATTTGATACTTCATTCAAATTTCAAGCCCAATGAAAATTCATAAATATAGAAAACGTACATAACATGAAAACTGAAATTCACTGTAATCTTTTAGTTTTTACCTTGGTTTATGTTAGCAGCAGAAAGTTTAGGAAATATTGTTTTCAGATGTTGAAATGCTTTCTCTCTTGTATTTCACTTGCATAAGAAGCACATATGATTGGTATATCCAGATTGGAAGCCAGTTACTAAAGCTACAATTTTTAAATCGCCTATCAAATTGCACTCAATTTTTTTATCGTTAATACAGTTTAACAAGTGTTGAATATTCTCATATGTTTCTGCAGTTTGTATGGAGTATGTAGTCGGCAGTACTAGATATTTATTCCCATTATGCAATAGTACACCTTTTTAATAATAATAATAATAGTAATAGCATTTATTGCCAAACAGTATACACCATTTATAGGACAACACATTGTATCATACCTACATGGTATAATGCAATTAACAAAATAAGAATTAATTAATTATATAATTGTGAAACAACTTAATTATGAGTGAAACACAAACATACAAAAGAATCTACAGTTTATGTGCAATATGAACTTTAACTGGAACTATCTTTGAACAATCTTCAAAAAAAATTTTTTTTTGACGACCTAGGCATAATGTCTTGTTAGATAGTTATTCAGCACATAATAACCTTTCAGAATACATTTTCAGAATGCTTGTAACAAGAATTTTTTCTAAAATTGTTCTACTGTGTACTTATTACAAAATTTAAAATAACAAAGTATTGCTATTAAAAGCCCGTAATAAACAACTGCTACACTGGAAACATAAATTCCAGTTGTACATTTTTCATGTTGCTTTTTTCCATTCTACAAAATGTACGATCTATTGTGCACAAAAACACAGCGCAAAACCGCATTTGAAAAATTAAAAAATAAGACATTCATCAGTCAACAGTGTAGGCAACCAAACGAAGAGGAATGTCACCCTCGACTTCGTAAGGGAAGAGGGATTGGAATGCAGAGCAACGCAAGGTAGTTTTTTAAAAGGGTCTCGCCCTCTCGCCACATGTTACTGTTTTTTGTGGGTACACGTGTTAAAATTGGTTAAATTTAATTTGTAATTTCATAAAAGAGTAATTGTTTAAACATAAATGAATCGCATTCGACGCCACAGTCCTCAACGAGCGTAATTAGTGCAATATCAGTGTATTAATGATTTTCTAATGTGAACTGTGTAAAACTTTCACTATTTCGTCAACACGCGTAATTGGCTTTATTGTTTGTAAATGGCTACTTGGTTTTAATAAGTACAATTTTACAATAATCATGTAAATGTTCCATGTATAAAAAACACAAGGTGTAAATTCACTTAATCGGGTTTAACTTATGTTTTAATAACAATGATGTCTAACATTGTGAATATGTGATTGATTTTTCTCAAGTTTTTATATTATTCACACTGATTGACTTCTAACTAGAGAGTTCTAATAATTTATTTATGGAATTTAATCTCAAACGTTAATTTATTTTGAAAATTTTCAGTGTGTCATCGTACGACAAGCTGGATTTAGAGATTTAATTGTTGAGACATTCTCGCAGCGTGGAATGCGCACCAAACTCCTTTGATTTTTTTTTTCCTATTGTATTTATTTAATGTGTTAACAAACATTAACCTGAATTAATAATTTAAACGTATCTAAATTTTTTGTTTTTCGAAATTGTTGATAGATTCAGGAAATTTTAATAATATTTATAAAAGCACGGGATCGCGTCCCAGGCGCGAAATAACGGTATGAAACACTCAAAATGAAAGCTTCTCTTTCATTGTCGTTTTCATGTGAATGTTTATCACGTGAATCAGGACGTCTAGTTGCCTGCATCCGTTGCGGGGATGGAAGTAAGCCTCCGGTAGGTATTATTACTGGTATGTTCAAATTTCGCTTCTTTCCAGGTAGATGGAAACACACCAACGTCATCTTCATTCCGAAACCAGGAAAAAATGAATCCTTTCCCCAAAATCATTGTCGGTGGGGAAGATCACTGAAAAGGTCATACGGAAATGGCTTGCCGGGTCGTATAATTCGCAGCGGAGTCAATTGAATTGAAGCAATTAATAGGTGCAGTGTTTCTCGATGTGGCCAAAGCCTTCGAAAGTGTCTGGCATGAGGGACTTGTTTACAAGCTCCACCTTGCAAGTGTGCCATTGTCGATGGTACAATTCATCGTAACATTTCTGGACGCCCGCACGTTTCGTGCCACACTCTATCAGCAGAACATCCAATAAGCGCGGGAGTTCCTCAGGGATCAGCGCTCTCTCCGCTGCTGTATGCGACATTCACTGCAGATATCCCCAAACCTCCTCTAACTAGTCTCGCACCTACTTACAGGTGGCCACTGATGCGTTGGAGGAGTGCTGTAGATGCTGGCTCATCACAGTCAATCCTGATTAAAGCTCTGCACTCAACGCCCCCTTGTTTGTCGGGAACAACCAGATTCTTCGGGAGCTCAACATTCCGAAGTTAAAGCAATTTCTGCATGAAAGTGCACTTTGTACCTTCAACAAAGCTGAAGAACACCCCTACCCCTTGGTCCGAGAAGCCGTCGACTACGGCCTTTAACCTAAGCCTACCACTAACTATCTCATCTGTCAGCCTGTAACTCTTTTTTACCTTTACTATAATATAGGGAAAAATGATATGTGTGGACAGTATTGAAATTCATAATAACAAAACAAAACTTTCAATATTTTATTGCAGTTTATTAGAACAACTGATATGTATACACCATGTCAAATGACTAGTTCAAATTCACTTAAATATTTCAAGTAGAAACAAAAATTACCACAGCTAAACGCATTAAATGCAATATTCGCTAAATGTAAAGAAGATCTTTAAAGGAACCCAATTTTTAAATTCATATTCAATTAACGAACTAAAAATTTGCACAAAAGTTATATTGTTGAAGTTTAATCCTTTGATATTTATATAAAAGTTATATTATATTTTATTGTAAACTAATCTATTGTCTTTTTAATGTTAATTAGTGATTTTCCGCATAGTGTTTAGAATCAACACTCTGCGCAACTTTGTAGGAATCTGTTCACAAGCTCTTTGTACCCCATGGGTGTCCATTTATTTCAGACATTTTTTTATCTGTCGCTTTAATTCGAACATTTTTTGCTGTTCATCCATTTTGATACACCAAAGAACTTAATTGGCCAAAGCAATTCTTGATTGAAGGACATTGTGGTAAATTGGTGTCGATTTTAATAAATTTCATTGTCTGTTTGACCATCCAGTCAAAATTAAAAAACTACCAACTCTGCATTTTATCTTGAAAATACAACCAACCACACCGCAGTATTAGATTTGGGGAAAATAGGTTATGTTTTATAACTGTGGCGCTACAATAACACGTTGGTAAACGGAGAAAGATAAGCGGCCTCGTGGTCTAGTGGTCAGGATACCTGCCCGGCAAGCGAGTGACGTGTGGTTCGATTCTTACCGAGGCAGCAACATTTTTCTTCGCTTACTTTTATAACTAACTCATAGAAATAAACGTAAATTCCATAAACGACAAAATACCCACGTGTTTCGTGATGGCAACCTTAGCGTTCGATGAAGTTTCAACGGTATAAACCGTAGTGCCGCTCAAAGAATATGAAAAATACCACTGGAGTTTTTTTGTTAGCAACTAAAATCAAAACGTGGTGGTTTTTTAATTTTGGCAAAAACTATAGATTGAATGTTCTTTATTTGCTCTATTGTAAAATATGCAGACGACTTCGACTTTTTTCTACCTTTAATTCCTACCTTTCTATGTACTTTGGCAATTGACCTTAGTCCACTATGGATTTTAAATTGTAAACGTGGATTTTGGTAATTTATTTTAGTAACTATTCTGCCACTGTTAAACAATTTGATATTTTTCTGGTTATCTGACTCAACTCGTCTCTATACTCTATAGGAACTCAATAAGTTGTAAAATACTTCACTGCAAATTAATATCGAGTGACTATTAATGTTCGTGATTTTTTTTTTGTCAGATAGGAAAGTATTTAAAACTTTATAATTGCATACTTGATTATCAAAATGACCTTTATGGCAGCAACTCAGCTGTCATGCTCATGCCAACACTGACAACTGTGAACTACTAGCATGGCCGCCAATAATTCAGAATTGCCAACACAATAATTTGCTTCGATTATTATTAATAGTCACCCGGTGTTTTGCTATGAAATTCATGATGTTAATAAAACTTTACGGTGATGTAATTATTCGTGTTTTAATGCCATTTTAATTAAATTAAACTAACGAATATTTTTGTTTCATAAATATTTGCCATAATCTAATGACGTTTGTACCATACTTGATCACTTCAATATCCTGAATTGGAAAAATCAAAGACACAAATTTTGTGCAAAATTTTAGCTATAACCCGTTAAGGGAAAAATAGCGTATAGCGAATAGCATCAAGTGAAAGAGTTATCTTTTTTCTAAACAGTAAGTAGTTAACTATTCTAAATTTTTTCTTACAAAACTCCCTAATTTATAAGCCTTCATTCAAAAGCTGCCTAACACCACCCAATTTTCTTAATTAATTTAAAATAGAAAATCAGTGATGTCAGACTTAAACAGTCTAAAAAACATTGGAAAAGTTACTGAGCAAATACTTCACTATAAATAATCTTAACAACAACAAAAAAAATACATTGCTGAAAATTGCCATTAAAATTACATTTTTAGTTCCATTCATATTTACAAAAAGAACTGTTATTAAATCTGATAATATACAACATTACAAAGTGGTTCCATTTATATAAAATACAAGATTTCATTTTTATTTTAATATTATTTATATTCACCAATAATTTGTTCTTTTTTTGTACACAGGAAATAACATCTTATTTTATAGCTGTAGGCAGTTATCAAGATAAAATAAATCAATCAGTCTCTAAATCAAACAGAACCTTTAGGCGCACAAAAATTATCATAAACAATTGTAAAACGTGCTACAAATAGTAAAATATCATAGAAAAATCTTAAAGCTGTTTTAAATAAAGTGATATACAAACAATAAATCAGAGCACGAAAATAATATCAAATATAAATCACAACAGTTTGGAATGTAGTAAACACTTTGTGGTACATATTATACACTACAAAAAACAGAGAGTATAATTGACTAGCTTAGTTTTATAACAAGAGATTCTCATTCAAATTTATTATTTAAAGGTAATTTTTGTATATGTTTTAATCCTCTAGCAACCACTAAGTGTTCAGTTGGGAAATCTAAAATCACTGTTACGTGGAAAGCCATATTGGCCAGTGCTATGATGTATTCACAAAAAGCAAACCAGCTGAAAGCTTTCCAAAAATTTAAGGTGACATTAAACATGTGATGCTCACGATAATAACAAGACAAAGTTGTACTTACCCATATCATGACAGAGTAACCTATGCTTGAGAAAGAAGCCAACTAGTCCCACTGTACTCATCAGTGATACAAATAAAAGGATCTGTTTTATTAATAGACCTCTTTGAACACTTTTTAGATTGTTGTTTGTTTCAGCCACCCATCGTACACCTTTTATGCAAGCCAACATATGCAGCAAACTGCTTACCATAAACGTAATAAATAATTTTTCATGTATAGCTGCAATATTCATGATTTTATATCTCAGCGCTTTGAAAGTAGCCTACTCACGATAGTTCTCTCTATTGGAGATATAAGTCACTCCACACAAAGAACCAATTTCTACAATATTTAACCAAAAGGCAAAATTCAGCCACCATTTGGCGAGCTCCTACAAAATTGACAACAATAAGTTTAAACATATAAAATTTTGTTGTTGAAAATGTAGATGTACCTGATGTTTTGATGACATGTTAATTAGGTTTAAATGGTACGACCTGTGTACAGCTGCTATAATAAATCTTGGTCCAATGTGAAAAGCCACACTAATTCGCCAAAGATATCTTTGTGGGCTTATACCCGTTATTGCACTGATTGAAGGTATTATGTTGTACACCTAAGAAACATTTGTTAATTTGAATAAACCATAGTAGTTTTACATTTACCCGACAATGAGTTTCATGTATATCATCTGCCTGAAATATATACGCTGTTACAAAACATATTATAAGCGCCAATAAAGGGCAAGACACAGTCACAAGACACAAGTGCTTAAAACTAAGCATATAATGTATAATAAAGTTTTCGACAACATCTCCCTTTTGAGCGTTAGTTTTCATTGTAGCTTTCACAGATAATATTTCAAAACAAACTGGAAGAACGGTGGAAGAGCTATAATGAATAAAGCTATTGTTCGAAATGTACAAACCTAAAACAAAAATTTATATCCTACCAGATAATTAACGCGCATTCGTCAGTTCACCTTCAGAGGGTATAAAACATTTTATCGCTTGTAAAAAACATGTTTCAGTTATTTATTAATATAAAATAAACAAACTTTAGTCAGAATTTTGACAGTTTACGCTTCTTATAACCTTTTCTCTGATTTGAACTGTCAAATCAGCCGGCTTTCTTTGATAGGTTAGTTACGCCGCGTAAATTAGAATTTTAAATATTTAACTTTTTACATAATCAAATGTTTAATTTATTTTAGCATATACATCCACTCAAAGTAGCATACATTAAGAACTACATCCAAAAATATCTCTATCTAATTAACAAGAAAAAAAAATTAAACCTAATTTAATTCAAAAGCTTTATTTTTTCCTTTATAATTCCTTTAAACCTTCTTTTCCAAGTTTTTTTTACTTTCCCAGTGATAACTGATAATGATAACTAATTGTTAGCAAGCTATTGAAAGTTCAACAGTGGCTTAAAACGATAAATGATTTCGTTAATACATAAGCTACATCTTATTGATGAATACAACTTTAATTAGAATAAGTTGTTTCTAATTTTGTCAATTTTTACCGAAGTAATTCACCCAATTAAACCTTTTAAAAAGTTAAAAAAAATTTTTTCTTTAATGTTTATTGTAATTTGTTACAATATATAGATATTTATGTATATCAAACACGGGAATGTTTTTTATCAAACTCCTAGATATTAGGTACATTATTTTTTCGCCGACGCCTTTAATTGTGCTCTGATGGTATTTTCCAATTTGATGCTGTCAGCAGCAAAATTTCTAATACCGTCAGACAACTTGTCTGTAGCCATTTTATCCTCGTTCAACAACCACCGGAATGTAGCTTCTGTTAATTCCAATTTTTCCAACTGTAACTTGGTGGCATTTTCAACGGAAAGCTTCTTCGGAACGGCGTCATTCGAAGCTTCCAATTCACCAAGAAGTTTTGGGCTGATGGTGAGCAAATCGCATCCAGCCAATGCCTTTATTTCCTCTGCAAATTATATTATAAGTAGATACTAACTTACACGTTTTATGAAAATAGCACACATACCAATATTTCTGAACGACGCTCCCATAACCACTGTCTTGTAGCCAAATTTCTTGTAATAATTATAAATCTTCGTGACAGAAATAACTCCTGGATCTTCATCGCCAGTGTATGATTTCTTATCAGTGTTAGCGATGTTCCAGTCGAGAATGCGTCCGACAAATGGTGAAATTAGCGTAACTCCAGCTTCAGCACACGCCACAGCTTGGGCAAAATTAAACAGTAGAGTTAAATTACAGTGGATACCATGTTTTTGTTCAAGCTCTTTTGCCGCTTGGATGCCCTCCCACGTGGACGCTAGTTTAATTAGAACGCGGTCTTTGCTTATGCCCTGGTCGGCGTACAACTGGATGAGTTTCTGTGCCTTTGCAATACTGGCCTCTTTGTCAAAAGATAAGCTAAACGAAAAATCGACGTGATAAGAAGAAACATAACTTACTATCGACTATGTTTTAAAGAAATTTCCAATTTAACAATGATGTCGTAAATTAAGCGACCAAAATTTAACTCAATACGCTTTTGATAAAACTGAACAAAAACTCCTCCACTAATTGAAACTATTCATAATAGTTAATTAACCATAGAATTTTGCTTGTGAAACACATCATGAGATCTTACCGCGCATCAACCTCAGTCGACACTCGCCCTGGCACGATTTTCAAAATTTCGGCTCCAAATAGGACACAGAGGAGATCCATGGCGTTTTCAAGTTTTTCTTCAAGTGTTTGTCCTACTTTGTTGCCATATTGTACAGCTCTTGTAACAAGAGGTTTGTACTGTGATAAATTAGACGCCGCCAGTATGAGAGACGGATTCGTTGTAGCGTCTGTTGGTTTGTAGTTTTTCATCGCTGAAATGAATTTTCGTGTGAATATTTACAGAATTCTTACTTTTTAGTCTGATAATGGTGACAGCAGATATGAGATCACCCAGGAATATCATTTTAAAAAATATCGATTTTATAATTTTGACAGTGGTTACCAAAATATACAAATTTGTTTTTAAAATGTGGTCTATATAAAAAAATTATAACGTCTTACTTTTTTGTTAAGTTGTTTTGAATATCATGTGGTTATGAAAAATAATGAAAACCATAATCTGATAAACAAAAAACACAAAACTAAGCATATATTATTAACCACGTAAAAAAATAAAAAAGGTTTACGAATGTAAATCTGGCAGATATGGTATCTAACACTAACATGATGACATCATTACGATATATCGGAAACAAAATTGAATAAATATCTCTAAAGCAAATATATTCATATTCACATACGTTACAAATAATGACATTGTGTATTTCACTCCAAATAAAATTCAGATTGAAGAATTCCACAGTTTTAAATTTTTAATTCAAAAAATAAAAACTTAAAAATAAAATTTCTATTCCTCGAATTTGTGTGTGGGCGTTCAAAGTGTCCAACCAAATTGAAAAGTATATATTTATTTTCAAACGATAACGTTAACAATGTCGGGAAACCACATTTCTGTATATGTTGTGTACACACAATGTGGAACAGATGATGTCTCGATAAACATGAATGGTTTAATGTTAAAGTATATAATGTGTTATATTTACATAGGCGATGCAATGTCATTTATAGATGTATGTTACCAACATGCACATATAAATTAAAGATTTTATTAGGTAATTATGTTTCCTTTATTTATACACTTTGACCTTGCGTGAATACAATATAATTATTTTTATGCGCCATCTAACTTTATGTGATTGGGAGAATTAAAATCTGCTGCAGCAATTACGAAACTGACTTCCGACTCATTGTAAAAATATAAAATCCATTAGTTTAATTTTGATGATAATAATAATATAAAAACGTAATAAAGCATATATTCATACGTTTTATTATGCTTAAAATAAACAACTAATATTCAACTATTTATTGTATATTTATATATAGCGACGGAATATGCCTGCATCCAAGGCCAAAAACTATTCTTGTAACACATCTCTACAGCCTGCAAACTCAAGAACAATTACTTGCATTATTTTAATTTTATGCCTTAGAGATCTGTTGGACACTAGCCAATAATATTCGGGTATAAGAGATTCAATATTTATTATCAAAAAATTCAAACGGAAGCAACAACAAATAACGCAAAGGTCGTCAAAAGACAAGCGGTGAAAGAACGGTCAGATAAAATAAAATAAAAAATGAGAGAAATCTTTCCCTTTTTTTTGTTTTTATAATGTTTATATTTTTTTCTTTTATTCGTTTTTAGAAAATCGTCATTAAGAAGGTCACATATAACTGTGATATAATTTTTTTAACTCTATGATGGTTTTGTTACTAACTACACGATGTGACCCAGCAAAAAACATCCTCAAGATGGCGCTGGACGACCAAGATAGTCCTATTTAGTAACTCTAAAGGTTTTTGTCGTTTGCTATCCACATCGACGTATGAGAACGACAGCTAAAAAAGCTAATACCCTAATACTAATGTGGATCTTACATCTTACGGTAATACGGATATTTATAACTTTTTGTCGATTTTATAAATATACCTAAGACAGTTCCAATCACAAAATCAAACAAAACAATGAAACAGCATGTTAATTACTTAGTTTTAAAGTGAATGGAAAGTCACATTCAACAAGAATGATATTTATTTTAAGGATTATATTATAAAGAATCTAGTAATTAAGTATAATTAAATGTAACTGTTGGTCATTGCAGCAGAATACTTTTAATTATGGCAAAATATTGTAAAACTGTGCCAATTATCACATCTGGTATGTTTCTGTTTTTGTCTTCGTCCGACACACTGTATTTATGTAGGTAAAGAATGCCCGCACTTCTTAGCATTTTAGAGGCGGCAACGTATACTCCGTAAGCATAGCGTGTCCGACGAAGACAGAAACAAAAACATACCGTTTTACAACAAAATTTAAAAAGAATCTACTATATTCATATGTAATATGTGCCAAGTAATAGGATTTTGGAGGATTTCTTTCTTTTTACTTCCCGAGCGTAAGCAAAGGAAGTATTGTAATCGAGTCCGTCGGCCGACTCTCTACTTTTACGTTTTCTCGATCTTTCATGACCCCTAGAAGACGAAGAAATAGGTCTCCCATTTCCGTCTGTCTGTCCGTCTGTCCGTCTGTCCGTCCGTCCGTCCGTCTGTCCGTCTGTCCGTCCGTCTGTCCGTCTGTCCGTCCGTCTGTCCGTCTGTCCGTCTGTTGTCCCGGATTTTTATTAGACAGATAATCTCCGAAAGTACTCGACCGATTGTTGTGAAATTTTGTACTTATATTAAGAATATCATGTAGATGGTAAAACGCTAACCAAAATTTGTCTAATCATCCCCACCACTAAAGCGATGACGTCACTTCAAAATTGTACATAGTAAATGGGTTTTCAATTGTATAAAATAACATAGTCCTACACATGTAGTTTACAACTCTGAATCGACTTTTCACCCGAAACGTCCAGATTTTTGGAAAAAAAATCAAAATTATAAAACAACATTTTGAAATTTAATTTTTAATCTGCTAACCAGAATGCTTTGAAATGTTGCAGATGTTTTAAGGCTATAAAGAGCATCATAAATCTTTAGTCAAAAAATATTTGCTTATCCCCTCCAAAAACTTGATGACGTCAGCTCAAAAGTTTGTGGAATAAATCATATCTAAAATGTACAAAATATGATGAGTCTGTACTTGTGATCTATCACTCCATTCATATTTTTTGGATTTGCATATACAGGATGACTCAAAAAAATTAATGAATGCGTAAATTTATTTTACTGATTTACTCAGAAACTACAAAACCGAATGCTTTGAAATCTTGCAGATGTTTTAAGGTTATAAAGAGCATAATAAATGTTTAGTCAAAATATATTTGCTTATCCCCTCCAAAAAATTGATGACGTCAGCTCGAAAGTTTGCCGAATAAATCCTATCCAAACTGTAAAAATATGATGAGTCTGTACTTGTAATTTATCACTCCATTCATATTTTTTGGATTTGCATATACAGGGTGACTCAAAAAAATTAATGAATGCGTAAATATATTTTATTGATTTAATCAGGAACTACAAAACCGAATGCTCTGAAATCTTGCAGATGTTTTAAGGTCATAAAGAGCATAATAAATGTTTAGTCAAAATATATTTGCTTATCCCCTCCAAAAACTTGATGACGTCAGCTCGAAAGTTTGCCGAATAAATCATATCTAAAATGTACAAAATATGATGAGTCTGTACTTGTCATTTATCACTCCATTCATATTTTTTGGATTTGCATATACAGAGTGACTCAAAAAAATTAATGAATGCGTAAATATATTTTATTGATTTAATCAGGAACTACAAAACGGAATGCTCTGACATCTTGCAGATGTTTTAAGGTTATAAAGAGCATAATAAATGTTTAGTCAAAATATATTTGCTTATCCCCTCCAAAAACTTGATGACGTCAGCTCGAAAATTTGCCGAATAAATCATATCTAAAATGTACAAAATATGATCAGGCTGTACTTGTGATCTATCACTCCATTCATATTTTTTGGCTTTGCATATACAGGCTGATTCAAGAAAATAAATGAAAGCGTAAATTTATTTTACTGATTTACTCAGGAACTACAAAACCGAATGCTTCGAAATCTTGAAGATATTTTAAAATTATCATAGCATGGTAAATTTTTGATCAAAACGTATTTGGTCGTCCCCCCTAAAAAATTTATGACGTCACCACAAAATTTTGCTGAATAAATCCTATCTAAAATGTACAAAATATGGTGAGTCTCTTCTTGTGATTTATCATTCCATTCAAATTTTTTCGATTTGCATATACAGGGTGACTCAAAAAAATTAATGAATGCGTAAATTTATTTTATTGATTTAATCAGGAACTACAAAACCGAATGCTTTGAAATCTTGCAGATGTTTTAAGGTTATAAAGAGCATAATAAATTTTTAGTCAAAATATATTTGGTTATCTTCTACAAAAAACTGATGACGTCAGCTCAAAAGTTTGCCGAATAAATCGCATCTAAAATGTACAAAATATTATGAGTCTGTACTTGTGATTTATCATTCCATTCATATTTTTGGATTTGCATATGCAGGGTGACTCAAAAAAATTAATGAAGGCGTGAATTTATTTTATCGATTTAATCAGGAATTACAAAACCGAATGCTTTGAAATCTTGGGAATATTTTAAAGTTATTATAAGCATGGTAAACTTTTGTTCAAAATGTATTTGTTCATCCCTCCTAAAAAAATTGATGCCGTCACCCTTAAATTTTGCTGAATAAATCCTATCTAAAATGCAAAAAATATGATGAGTTTGTACTTGTGATTTATCATTCCATTCATATTTTTTAGATTTTCTTAAGAGGTGGTTCAAAAAAATTAATGAAGTCAATTTATTTTATTGATTAAATTAAAGGCAACACTTATTATTAGTATTACACCTCAACAAACATAAGGGTAGCACGCTTATTTACATCGACTTTAACATTGCAGACCTGCATTTGTTTTATTCGTTCACTTGGTTCCGCGAATGTGAAATAGACATGTTTATAATCAACCAATTGTGAATTTCACCGTTAAGAATTAAAATAAAACCCAATGTTTTATATAATAAGCGGAAGTCGAAGCAATAAAACCGATGGTCGTTTTGTTTACAGTTTCTCTGTTTGACTCTCATGCACGTATGCTGTTACGCTTGTCATCTTAAATTAAGAATGTTTATACATAAACGATTTTCAGTTGCCGTATACGTGAGTAAATTGTTTCGTTATTTTATTGATTATAAAAAATCAATATTCAAAACGACCCAATTCATTTTCCCGAAAATTTGGGAATACAATAATTTTATTCTTAGTATTACACTACATCCATCCCAACTGATATACGTGTCCTTGCAAAAATGTTGATGACGTCATCGCAATTTTTTTTAAATTCCCACTACAAAAATGTAATGAGAAAAAACACAATAGGCATGCAGTCGTCAAGTTTCCGACAGCGAGGGAAGTACTGTCTAAACTCTTTAGACCAATTTTTTATGATTTCTAATTAACGTTTTTTTTTCAGTGTTTTTTTCAATGATTTGTAAAAACCAAAAAAAAAAAGAAAAAGAAAAAAGGCCCCGTTTTGAATAAATATATTTTGTATAAATAGAAAATTGCATTTCTTATCTCGGATTTGCATTCTACAATTTGACCTTCTGGTATTGTGCAATTATTTATTAACAAATCTTATTTTTGTTGCATCAAAGAAAATGTGTTTCGAATGATTATTAATTATTGTAATTATAATTTTAAATCTTGCCGATCAACTAGCGAAACATGCACAGTTTGATGTTATTTACCAGAATTCATTAATTTTAATTTTAAAATGATAAAACTTGGCCTATTAAAAGTTTACAAACTTCGGTATCTTCTAATTAATTAAACTTTCTAAATCAGACCACTAATTTTTTCAGTTCGTTATTTATGAATTTCTTCTGTTAATGCTAATTGTTTATAAATTAGAGATCTATTAAATTACAGGGATATAAGCAAAACTGGAGTACTGGCACCACCACAAAAGTCAAATTGTATTTTACAAAATCCAAAATTCTTGGACAAAAATGATTACGAAATTTGTTGCAAATTTCGAACAAATGATCTGTGGCTAGTAAATTATGAATAGCTGAAAAACTGAAAAAAAAATCAGTGATCAACGGTTTGTGTTTGATATTTCTGACTGGGATGTTAGTCTGCGCTGTGTTGCCACTTATATTTTCTCCCAAAATGTTGACAAATATACCGAGAGAGTAATAAAAATACGATATCATGATCAAAGGCAGCCATGGATTTTTGAAAGTTTGTCTTTCTTCAACTAAAACTTTCAAATTAACGGTAATCTGACAAGCTGAAAACTATCAACACAAATCTTTAAAGATCTATGACTGTATTATTTCATTCCAGCTTAATAGGACCTTGACAAAATACAACACTAATGAATGACAACTAATTTTTCAGTTGTTGAAGATTGGTTATTTTGTTGTATTTTATGTCAAAAAGCAAAAAGGATATAAATATATCGATTTTTTAACATTTTATAGTTAGTAAATCATATGCTTCTTGTTTGTTTTATTATCAATTAAAATATATTTGAACTTTAATTGACTTTCCGGTGTTATTTACCTACACTTATACCTATTTAGTTTTTTTTTAAATTTTTAATAAAGGGATTAAAATTTTAGTTACCTATGTTAAATTTAAACAAAGATGCCGAGGAATTACTTTCTCTCCCTCTCCGAATTTAATTTAATATGTAAACCCACGTTTTATGGATATAATTAATTAAAAATTATATATAGGTAACTTTCTATTTTATAGTCAGTAAATTTTAATATTGTTGTATACAATAGCATTCAGAAGTCACAATAGTAAAACTCGTTTTTATTACATTCCGGTAAAAAATCATTTAAATAATTCCACGTACAACAATTAGATGAACACAAATTTTAATTTTACAACTTTCCATATCAACCGCATCACCCTAGTCCACTAAGGTCACCTTCAAGTCTTCACACAAATAAACATAATTACCACTGATAACAGCAATACCAATGATAGTACGGATAACAAGATAGCGCGATACACCCAAAAAAAAGGTTTACCTTCAAAATCGCCGGTATCGGCAACAACGGTGGTAAGAGCCTTCAGCTGTTCCAAAGAGCTGCTCATCTTGCTTCTTTTACACTGAGGCTCTGACATCTTGATAAGTTGTTAAATACAAAAATTCTGAAAACCGACAGCAATGACGACTTATCACGACCCACGACCTCGACTACCGTCAGTGGACAACGATGATTATGTACTTTTCTGACGAGGAGGGAAAAGTTGCCGAGCTGCGTTCAGTGCAGCCAAGTTAAGGTTATCACTTTCACCTTGACGGGACACGTTAGACCAATATCGACCAATGACGGCATAGAAAAATACCGGGAGATTTCGAACCTACCAACCACATTTGATGCATTTTGGAACCTAGCTTTACTGTATGGTGGAGCTTAATTTTAAAAGAGGTGATTAGTCATTGCAGCATAGAGGAGTTATGTAATAGCAATGTTCATATAAACGAGTTTTACGTAACGTAGTTTAAATGGTTTATAGTACAAATGGGTAATGGATATAAATAAATTAAGTCATTTGTAATACAACAGGAACAAGGATAAATGCTTAAGCCTAGTACGTTAAAACATACAAGTAAATGGAATGACAGATGCTGAACAATTCTTAATAATATACTTGAATACTTGAGAACATTTTATAAAAGAGATCACATTTGAGTGTTAGAAATTAAGATGGTGGGCGTCGCAGATGCCAACAGACTGAAACCACCATGAAGAACACACACTCTGCTGACGCCACACTTGAGCAAAAACTTTGGAAACTAAAATGCACAAAAAAAAGTCAAAAACTCTCGTAAGGATTCGCATTTACCAATTCCAAATCTGTTTCTTCGTTCCCAATGACAACGATGATCTCGTTTTTACTGTTAGCTATCCGGGTACTGTGCTGTCCCACATTTTCAAGGCTAGCTTCACCAAATGAAACGCTAGAGAATGGTATGTTGATGCTGTTCATCACAGACGATCTGCTGAACCTACAACACAAATTCAAAACCATCTGTTTGTGCTTGTAATGAGCGACTTACTGCACAGGGTTTCGAATATCAATTGTTAAAATTTTTTCCGGTTTGCTTCTAACCAAATTAACAAAATCGGTGGCACTTATTCGTGGACACCTTTCGCGGTTTAGTTCTTGCAGTGTTACACTACTGATATCCTAAAAGCAAGAAATATGCTAACATTCATAGAAAATTGCTTAATGTTATTACGAGTTCAGATGTTGGGTGGAATTTTCCATTCTGATGTTCGCGAGTTGTTATGCTTTTAGGGGTTGATTCAAACGTCGCCATAGAATAAGAAACACACTTCTCTATATCCACTTCAGGTAAATCAGAAAAAAGTAAAATGCATTCATTGAAACCTGAATTTAGTAAACGATCTCTCAACTGGGTTAAAACGGAAAGTCCAATATGTAAAGGAAATGACGAGTCGCCTAGAAGTAGCTTATCCCAAATATGAAGAATTTTGTAAAGTGGAAACACATCTAAAATAAAAGAAAATAGATAGTAATATGAAAATTATATAAACATACGGGAGAAAACGGTTAAGAACCACGGAATTGCAAATAGTTCTGGATAGAAGTTAATGTAGTGGAGGTGATTCGCCAGGTGTGGATCGTGGAACGCAATTAGCTGAGAAAATTTCGCCAAATATTCTTGGATGACCATTGAATTGTCTTTAAGGAAGAATTTGTGTAGATACTTCGGTATAAAAGCAGACAGACAAGCAAAAGCTTTTGCTTCATTATTAAAATTTAAATAAAGGAACGGCGCTGTTAAAGAGTCTAATCCTTGCCAATACACATAGTTCGAATTCTGATACACCCATGCCTTAAGAATTCGTTTTAGTTTCTTGTGACCTTCAGTCGATGACAATAGTTCGTTGTACTGATGACAACGCGGGATATCGACTTCAATCTGTAAAGTAACAGTTAAAACAAAGAATGATTATTGTATCAGTTAGATAAAGTACCTGTCGGTCTGTAGTAGTGGGAGTTTCTTTATCAATTCGCAGATATTGCCTTTCATAGTCACCTTTAATACTTAGTAAAGCCGCCCAAACTTCTCCTCTTAACAAAGGGGGGATATCTTTAGACGCTTCTTTCAAAATGAGTTCTTTTGTGTACGGATAGCCCTAAAACAATTTACAATAATTAAGAAAATCTTAATTTAATGTTGAACGTATTACGTGAAGGAGCCTTCGAAATAGTATGACTCTGTGGAATTGATATTCTGGATCTTTTTCACGTATTATCAATGGTAAACCAGTCGCGTCATACGGAGGGGGCATAGAACTTTCAATTATTTTTGATGTTGCGTGAATTAGAGGATAGTAACACGTTAGAGGAATATGAGCAAATCTTTGATAAAGGGCATCCAATGGCATTTGAACAATTCTAGGATCATAGAGTGTTGCGGGATTTCGTTCCTGTCCCAAAGTCGACCCTTCTATTGATACCAAACTGTAACAACGCTTTCTTAATACTTATTAATTAAAAAAGACATTAATACAAGAGTAAGAGTACTAACTTTGGCAACGAAAGAATAGGAGGACTTGATCTGATTAATCCTTGTTTTTTCAATTCCTGGAATACGTCTCCACCTGCCAATTGCCACCAATGATATAATTCATTGATTGTAAACACTTCAAAAGGTTCACAGACTTTACTCTTGTTGGGTGTTTTTTTAGTTGTAAAATCTTCAAACATTTCTCGTTGAAGTAGTTCTTCGGCTGTGGAACGATTTTTTGGATAAATGCTTAAACACGCCTCCACGAGGTTTTTAAGATCGTCAGGAATAGTCTGCAATGATACAGTAACACTAGGCACATATAAAACGTAAAACTACTGATTCAGTTACAGCAACTGTAACAAGTTTTTTTTTAAACATGAGTACGCAATTCAAATTTTGTGGTCTTTAGTGTTTGCTTTTTATATAACGTTTTAGATTATATTTCATTTTTAAAATTATGTTTTCTATAACAGACCTAAACAGTGCAAAAAGTTAGATTTTAAAAATTTCACATAGACACTTAAAGCATTTTACTACTCTTAACTTTTTTATTTAAAATGTTGTTTGCTTTCAATAGTAGGTACTTATACTGCCACAAGAATTTTAGTAGTTTTACGACTTTACCCTTGTCAACGAATTATGCAACTTATTAGATGCAAATTTATGACACCGTCCCAAACTTAAATACATGTTTTTTCTTATATTTCGCTGACTTATGTTTAGCCGTTTTAGATTTTTTTTGTGACGAGGGCGTTGGAAAAGTCAATATCATAAAACCACTATATCGCTTGTGCCAGTATACTTAAAAAGTACACATTGAAAAACAAAATTGCATGAAACACGTTATACTCGCCAAAAATTTAGTTTCAGAATTTTGAAATATGTTAAATTGGCTAATAAATATTTCAAGATATTGTCCAACATTAGAACATTATTATCGATTTAAATTTTTATAAAAGGTACTATTTTTAACATTTTTGTAAAAATGTGCGCACAGTCGCCTTAAGTGCGAATTTTAGGTTTTTTTTTAGTGCAGATGTTTTTATATGTAGTTGTGTATAAGTCGTGTTTAAACAAAAAACCTAGTAAATAATAAAAAAGCAAAAATACAAAATGACGCCAATTACACAAAAATATTAATATTTACTAACCTCATACGTTTCAAAACAATTGTGCTCCCTGGCGATTCTCTCAAATACAGAAGAATTATTACACTGAATCAAACTTAGTATTTTCCGAATTCGCTGTCCCAATTTTAACGACTGCCACAATCCTTTCTTTAAAATCAGTTCAATTAAAACAATACCTACAGACCAAATATCACTTTTTGGGTCCGAGAATATTCCACTTGGGCTATCTAGATATACTTCTGGTGCACTATACAGCACTTGCCTATAAATAACGTAAACTGTGAAAAAAAAATTTTGACCCCGACGTGATTTGAACACGCAACCTTCTGATCTGGAGTCAGACGCGCTACCGTTGCGCCACGGAGTCAGTTGTTATAAACGACTACTGAACACCGTTTTAAGGTTATTTTACAACAAAAAAATTATAACCATAAATTTATTAAAGTAATCACTCACATAATTGGAAATGATACCAACTGCCCACATCCAGTCATATAATATAATCCATAATTGAATAACTTGATGTCTTTATTTTGTTGGAGAAGAATATTGTCAGTACTCAAATTACGATGCACAATCTTTCTTTGATGTAATTCCTTTAACGCTGTTAAAATTTGGAAAGCAATTTTCCTAATTTCATCCAAAGTAAACTGTTCTTTGGAAATATAGTTTGATAGTGGTTCACCACAATATTGAGAAACAACAACTGTTCGTTCTAGAATAAAATTGTGTTGATTTAATGGATTACCAAAGTTATAAGAACTTACCATGTTTGCCTCTGATGATATCTAAATATTGACATAAATAAGGATGTTTTATAGTTTTTAAAAACTGAGCTTTTCCAATTACAATAATGGAATTGGGTGTTAAAGGAAGTCCATTACTTCCACAAGTGTCACCTTTGTGCAGCTTTGCAAAAAATGTTATAGCTCCAAACTGCATCTGGGGGTCTGTTAAAAGTGATACCGGCATTTTTTGATAAGTTTTCCTAAAGATACAAAAACACTTGTCACCAGAATTTTAGGTTATGTTTCTGAGTCACTGTTTGACAACTTTTCCTGATTACTATGCTACTGGTTTTATTCAAATGTATCATTTATAACTAACTATTTATAAATAAGACTAATACTGAGTTTTAACAATGATTTTATTATTATAGTATACAAAATTATTTAAACATTTAAAGAATTAATCTTTCTCGGCTATGGCAGTAAGGTGTCTGTCAGTTTCCGTTTCAGAAAGTTTTCGAAATTTGGGTTCCTCTTTGGAGACGACTCCCACCTCAATTTCTGAGGGTTTAAAATCTACCGACAAAACGCTGGACAAACATGAGATTGCCAACTGAATAACATCATCGTGTTGCAATTCCTGCTTCTTCTTCAACTTCTTTTCCAAGTAGCTGTTTGCTTCAGTCTGTTTAGCGCCTACACTTATAGCCCTATATCCACAATAGTAGCCAGCAGGGTCTGCTTTATATACGCATGGTCCAATTTCAGGATCATATCCAATTAAAACCATGGAACACCCAAGTGGTCTCATTTCAGCATTCTGTGTATAAACCTGAGAAATATCTGCCACTCTTCTACACAGTGCATCAATGGGCATTTCATATCCATATTTATACTTGAATTGTGCCGCTTCATAACGCGCCCTTTGCACTTGGGATTTACTGTCTGCGATCATACCTGTCATAACACATCCAGAGCTTTCAGTTAATTGAAACAAGTGTGTGATAGTGCCGGCATCGATGAGCTTGTCGGGGATCTTTCTTTGAGTTACACAAACTGCCGTGTCGATTCCTTTGAGGGCTACAGAGGTTAACCCGGCTTGATTAATAGCTTTGAAAGCATACTCCACTTGATAAAGCCGACCTTCTGGTGAGAAGATGGTAATGTGACGATCAAACCCAGCACTGCTACCTCTGGACATTGTTAATATTTAAAAATTTGTTGTTTCACTTTGAATACAGCACCTATACAGTGACTTGCGCTTGTTTAGAACTGTCAGAATCTGTACTGTCAAAAGCATCAAAAACAGCAGAATCTTAACTGTCAGCTGTCAAATAAACAGAGTCGCCAATACAGAAAACAGAAAATAATAAAAAAAATTAAAATTTTTTGCTTGCATTTTTTATGGATCCGAGTTTTTCATTTTGGTATGACGTATTCATTTTAACTATAGGTAAATTTCGTTCTGGAAGTTCGTCGCTCTTATTTTGTCATAAATTACAACAATCTAATAATAAAGAGGCTGCCTGAATAATATTACAATAATTACCATAATTACTGCGATATCCAGTAAAAAATTAAATCAAATTTCGCTCCTACAAAAAAGTAGAACACCGCAAAACCGCATTTGAAAAATAAAAATAATTTTAATAACGTAGGCAACCACCCATGCGTTTGTAGTGTAATAATTAACGGAATGTCCCCCTTATTAGCAGAAGAGTGGTTGAAATGTAGTGAAGGTAGAATTTGAGGATAACTTTACTTCTCGCTTTGTGGTGTAATGGTGTGAATTTTGTTCGCAATTTTTTCAAAGGCAAAGGGCAGTTGTTGAAACGAAATAAATCACCTTCGACGCCACGATCCACCTCAACGATTGTAATTAGCGTAACTAAATAGTTCATTAACTATTTTCTAAACTGAAATGGTGAAATGTGAAACTTTGACAAATCGTTAACACGTGAATTTTTTTTTTTCACTCTTTGTAAATTCACAATTTGCGTTAACGTGAAATACGTGACAGGAATTCACTTATTCAGCCTTAACCGCTTAACTCATTTTAATAACAATTAACTAAAGCACTGGATGGTTTTCTCTATAGGTATGTTATTTTTATTATTGATGACCGGAGCAAAATATATAATACCATCATAAATACTTTGGGTATTACGGTCCAATTACTTTAATTTGGATTTCTCTTTTTCTTTGTGTATGTAAATTTGTGATATTCAAATATTTCTATTGATCTTGAATATTTGATTTTTTTTAAGTTGGGGAGGTTTTTGCACATAGGAAAATAAGTCCTTTCAACAATTTATTTCTCGCCAACTCAGATTTACACGACTAATTACACAGTGATTATGTACAAAATAATTTCGGCGCAACTTGACTGGTCTCTCTCGTCGACTGAATGAATCGTTCCCGAAGGTGTCTCTATTTAAACCCATACTTCCTTTCTCGATATTCCGAAATGAAGGTTTTTCTGGCGTACCTTTCGTAACTTTCGGCGACTCGCTCCAAGGTTTTCTTTATGCGAACGCCACCCAGCCACCGACACCGATGATGAGTTACCCATCATCGCCGTACATATGTATTGCCAAGCCCTCGAGAAAACCCATAGGCGTCTCTGCGAATGTCGTCGACTCGCATTTTTCATTTCTATGAATATTTTTCAAATTACACATTGTTTTCTCACCATTTTGAAAAGAGTTAACAAATGTAGCAAGTTGCATCAAATTATTATTTTTTGTTTTAACAAAAACATTTTGGAGCCTTTATTTGGGTCCTCAAGTATGGACCAGAACGAATCGTATCTAATGCAAATGATGGTCAAGGGTCAAATCGCGTTCTGTGATAAACAGATGGACCCCAAGAATGTAGAAACTGTCCGTTTCAGAAACCTGTCTTAACAAGAGAGCAAGTAAGAGACCTATTATACTAGAAGGTATTGGTCATTACTGGGTCTATCAAAAGTAAACCTACTACCTGCGTTTATATACATACATCTATATGGGCGTTGGCGTTTTTTTTTCTGGAAAATTTCTGCTCCAGGGATATGCTGGTGATTCAAGTAAATATGATAAACAGGAGGGACGTTAAGAACACAGATAATGTGTTAGGCCTATCTACCGTATACCTAACTAGCTTGTCTGCTCCCTCAGCCTCACTCTGAACTCGATGAGGTGACTCATAAAAGGTTTAGATGTGTCCAAAGTGTTAATTCAATCGGATCATCAATACATCCGTCGTTATCAAGACATAATAAATTACAAAGAGGCCTTCACGAAAAGGATGTCGAGACTATCAAACAGCATCCTTAATTACGTGAAGGAACGAAAAAAATGACCACCTTGATATATGAAGCCATTGCCGAATGTTACAAAAAGAACTATCCAATATGCAGCGCCTGCAAAATCATCTGTACCCAGTCGACAAATACTGTCACTCCACAAGTATGGAGATTTACATGTAAAGTTGTCCCAGTGGCGTAACAATCAAACTGCGGGTCTGTGTTCTACAACACTGTGGGGCCCCTAATGAACAGGGAAATAAAAATATTTAAAAATACGAGTATAATGAGTAGATTGCAATTAGCGCTAACGTTTTATTAAAATCATTCTACCTGAAACATTGAATTAAAAAAATAAAATACAATAATTACCTGAAGACATATAATTAAAATATATACAATATTAGAAACTAGCCGACCCGGCAAACGTTGTTTTGGCATTTCTAGTGAATATTTTGGTACATAGTTAAATAAAAAATTAAATTAAAATAAATACATAAAAATTTATCGTACGACAATGATTATATTCAATGGCCATCTTGCAACCCTATTGCGCATCTGTGGATGAAAGCAAAGATACTCATATCGTTATTAAAAAATGGGGGTTGGTGGTAGAAGGGTCAAAATTTAGGGTTATATGTATTTTTTGATGCCAAATCTTAAAAAAAATAAAAATAAAAAATGTTGTCTAAAAAATAAAAAAAGTTTGGTGGGTCACCCTTATCACTTAGGGGTTTAAAAAATAGTTTACTAGACCCACCGAATATACACAAAAAATTTCATAAAAATCGGTCAAGGCGTTTCGGAGGAGACACCAGAATTTTATATTAGATTATTTTAGAAAAAAATTCATTACCATAAAAAAGGTTATACTGAGTCGACCTTAAAAGATTGACGTATGCTGTCGCGGACTTTTTTTTAGAACTTTTAGAAGGGAACAATTCCATCATACATGATTTTTATGTAACTTTAACCGTTTAATAAGCAGCGTAAGCAACGGAAGCTGTCAAAGGACGAATAATTTTCCCGTTTTTCCGATATTTTTCATTGCTGCTCCCCTTCTATTAATCATAGGGTGAAGTTATATAGTCTATAACCTTCCTGGATAAACGGACTTTCCAACACAAAAAGATTTTTTGAATTCAAACCAGTAGTTTCTGAGATTGGCGCGTTCAACCAAACAAACTCTTCAACTTTATAATATAAGTAATTATAGAAGTATAGAAGTATAGATAAAATGCCCATTTTTTTTTTAATCTCAAAATTGTTTTCTTCTTCTGTTCGGGTTTCGGTTTTACCTACCAACCGCAACCCTTGTCAACAAGCGTCCCCAACTTTCTCTTCTACCTGCAATGTATCGCTTCCGATTTTAACCACTTTGTACATAGACTCCGAACTGTCAACAACAAGTAAATACAGTGTTACACAGCACATGTTTGTGTTTCATTTTATATCAATCTTTTTCGGTACGTATGTATGAATAACAATCATACATCCAACATTGGTCCTTCGAGCCGGATCTCTCCACATGTGTGATCCAGTGCTGTGAATTCAACAATAAAACGCGGTGGTGCCATTTTTCGACGCCTGTATCGGGAGACGTGATCTACCGGCCATCGGAGTTCCCTACCGGACAGGAGAGCAGCGAATCCAGCCCATCCAGTCGTTTCATCCAAGGTTCCAAGTGACCTTATCACGTTTTTGGTAATTTTCGACGCCTGTATCGGGAGACGTGACCTACCGGCCATCGGAGTTCCCTACCGAGCAGGAGAGCAGCGAATTCAGCCCATCCAGTCAATTCACCCAGGCTCCAGGTGATCTTATTACGGTTTTGGCAATTTTCGACGCCTGCATCGGGAGACGGGATCCAGCCATTGGAAATTCCCAACCGGACAGGAGAGCAGCGAATCAGTCTAGCCGTCCCAGGTGCCAGAGGGCCTTATTGCGGTGAGTGGGTTCCAACTATTCCTTTTCTTTATCTATTTCCGGTCAAGCACGCATTCGACCGTAATTGTACGTCATTTTATTTAAATTTCATTGGCAAGTACCATTTACCTTGCCCGAACTGTACCAGTTTTACGTATTTCAACTAAGCGGTTTTTCAAATGGTTATGACGCGTTCGCAAACTTTCGATGCTCCACACATGGCAGGCGCGGAAGGTGACGACAATGCCGAAACATTTTCGGACTCAAATCCTACACCAGAGGATGCAGGAAATTTACAAATTTTATTCTTAAAAAGAAATCGCATTCACGACGAAATATCGCGTTTCAAGTTGTGGTTTGAAACAAACAATCTAAGTACATCCGCTTCTCGACTAAGAGTAAGATTGCGCGATTTTGTACGTATTAAGGCTCAGTTTGACAAAATCCATTCTCAGATTGAAGCTCTTGATGACGCCACCCCCGATTTAGAACAAACTACCACAAGACTTTATTTTGAAAACGCGTATTACGATTTATGTGCAGATGTCGAAGATGCTATTGAACAAAAACGCGTTAACACATCTTCACCTGCACCGCAAGGTAACGCACCTACGAGCACACCGTCACCATCGGTGCAGTTGCTCCCGAATGTTATTAAACCGTTTAGCGGAATTTATACTGAATGGCTACCTTTTTATAATACATTTAAAACACAAAAGGTGTCTACATTTACAGCGGCAGTAAATCGCAATAGTACACAATCCACTTGTTATTTTTGTAAAAAATCTCATTTAATTTACAACTGTGTTACCTTTTCAAAACTCAGTGTTTCGGAAAGAAGGTCTCAGGTAGATAGGTTGAAATTATGTCAAAATTGTCTCAAACCATCGCATACGTCCGATAGCTGTAAATCTATGTCATGTAAATTATGCCAATTGAAACATAATACACTTTTACATAGTGACCAACCCTCCCATTCAAACGAAAACCAGCCTAGTACCAGCGGAGTTTATTGCTCATCCGCCCTTTTTCCACAAGCCGTTTTGTCTACAGCAATAATTCTAATAAAGGATTGTAAAA